TGGGCACCGTCCTATTGTTTTTTTTGTTCGTTTTCTTTTTTCAGTAAGCACAGCTGTCTTTATTTTTATTTTTATTTATTTGTTTTTACCCTCCTTTTTTTGAGTCGGTTATATATCCCCTGTAAATTTTTTTTTTTTTTTTTTTTTTTTTTTTTACACAACCAAACACCTTTACACAATTCTTCATATTTTCATCTATCTTTCTTTCATTTCCCTTTTCTGGGGTCTTTTGCTGTACTATTATTCTTATTCTTGTTCAGTTTCTCTCTTCCTGCCTTTGCTCATCCGTTTCCTTCCTCTCGCGGCCTATTATTATTTTTGATACAGACAGACGGCGATGGAGAGAGGAGGTGTGTTGTTCAGCCATTGCTCTGTTCTATTTCTGTTTCCATTTTTTTTTTTTTTTTGTTTTTTTTTTTTTTTTTCCAAATTTATAACTGGGTTGTTCGTTGGCCAGTATCCCCCTTTTTTTGCCTCTGATGTTCTCGCTATGGATTATGGACGTTTTTCTTCATTGGTCATTTTGCTAGTTGTGTTTTTTCTTTCCTTTTTCTGCTCTATTTATTATTATTATTATCATCATTACTTTATTTACCAGACATACGTATATACATATTGACATCTTGAAGGCAATGAAACAAAAGCGTTTAGCTGGATCTAAGCTAGGGCTAGCTGTAGCTAGGTATTTTCTTTAACAACAAAAGGGTTAACCATTTATTTATTTCTCTATTATTTTACGGTAACTTCAATCAAGGCACGGGAAACTTGAGGCAGTGAGTTTGTGTTGGTTATGCATTATCATTACTCTATTCTCTATTGATGCCTTGTGTCCTTATGTAGCAGCTACCTCAGGCGAATGAACGTAGGCCCCGCCATCACTTTTCTTCTTTTTTCTTTTTCGGTTTTTGTTTCCTTGAATCTCCTCCGAGAGAATCCAAGACGAATTTTACATGCTTGAAGCACTGATGTGTTTCTGTGTCTGATCCAGTGCCCACCAACCGAACAGCAACAACTAACTATCGTTTACTTGTTCGCTTGGACCAACAAACCGTCGCCAGTCCACAGTACAATAAAGCGCCAGGCACCTCTGTGGGAAGGATAGGGAGCTAGTTAAAATAAACAGCGGTCGGGGGGCATCAGAGGGCATGAATAATAATAGAAATTAAAACCATAGGAAAAGGAATCGGAATTGGTGGGAAGAAGGGAGCTTGCCAGCTCCAGAGGCGTAGCGCCCAGAAAGCAAGTATTTATCTGTTCGATTGTGCCTCCAATCGCCCACCAACACACCACACACATTACACTAACTCTCTCTCTCTTCTACTGATCTCCGCCTGGGAACTTAACCCAACAACTACTGCCTACACGTACACCCACCACCTTTCCACCACCTCAGCTACCAACTACCAACTCTCCGCTCTTTCTCTCTTCTCTCCGCTCTCGTTTCCCTCCCGCGTCGCCCCTCATCCTCGCTCTGCCCAGCCTCTCTTATTCTTATCCAAACACTTCCCCAACCCGCCCAAGCAAACCCCCCCACCAAAGCAAAAGAGAACAGAAGTTTGTTTCAAATAAAAAGAAGAAGGAGGCCAGAGGATTCAAAAAGACACCCGCTCCCGCAACAATGACAACGCCCGCCGTCCCCTCTCACCCTCTCACCCTCGACCCCAAGTACGACGACTACGATTTCCCAACCACCGCCCCTGACGCCCAATCAGGCCACCCAGGCCACACAACCCCGGAGCAGGATGCGCAGGTTTACCAGTTGCGGGTCATGCTGGAGCAGCTCGGCTACACGGAGCGGTTGGATACCCTGACGCTGCTGAGGTTCCTGCGCGCGAGGAAGTTTGACGTTGAGGCGGCGAAGGCGATGTATGTGTATCTATCTATCTGTTTTATTCTTTTATTCTTTACTCTTTCCCCATTGTTTTGGGGGATGCGGGGGGGTGGAGCAGTAGAGGTGCCCATGGGAACTAATTTTTTTTTTTTCTTCTTCTTCTTCGGGTTCATTGCAGGTTCGTCGAGTGCGAGAAATGGCGGCAAGAGTTCGGCACGGATGATCTGGTGAATACGTTCGAGTACCCGGAGAAACCGCAGGTGTTCGAGTACTATCCACAATACTATCACAAGACGGATAAAGTGCGTTTTTTTGTATTTATTTCTCTCTCTCTCTCTCTCTCTCTCTCTCTCTCTCTCTTTTTTTTTTTTTTTTTTGGGCAAACACCCGCCGGGCGGGAAAAAGGGGTGTTCTACCAGTTGGATGAAACATGCGAGATATCAAAGCTCCGTTCATTGAGCGGAAAAAAAGGCACAAACAACTAACCTATCCATCTATCTTTCATTACTCTCGATCCAGGATGGCCGTCCCGTCTACATCGAAAAACTGGGCAAAATCGACCTAAACGCCATGTACAAAATAACCACAGCGGATCGCATGCTGAAAAACCTAGTCTGCGAATACGAGAAACTCGCCGACCCGCGCCTGCCCGCCTGCTCGCGCAAGGCCGGCAAGCTACTCGAAACCTGCTGCTCGATCATGGACCTGAAGGGCGTGGGCATCACCCGCGTCCCCTCTGTCTACGGCTACGTCAAACAGGCCTCCGCCATCTCGCAGAACTACTATCCGGAGCGTCTGGGCAAGCTGTACCTCATCAACGCGCCGTGGGGGTTCTCCAGCGTCTTCAGCGTCGTCAAGGGCTTCTTGGACCCCGTTACCGTGCAGAAGATCCATGTGCTGGGCAGCGGGTATGAGGCCGAGCTGCTGGCGCAAGTCCCCAAGGAGAACCTGCCGAAAGAGTTTGGCGGCGAGTGTGAGTGTGAGAATGGCTGTGAGTTTAGCGACATGGGTCTCCTGGCAGGAGAAGGAGTGGGCGAAGGAGCCCAAGTGGGTTACGAAGGCACCTGACGATACGGCGAAAGAGGATGCTGATAAGGAGAATAAGGCACAGGAAAGGTCAGAAGGAGGCGGCGGAGACGGCGGAGACAGTAGCGATGCAAAAAGAAACAGAGAAAAATTGAGGCGGATACTGTTAAGCAGAAGATTAATGGGGAGTTGATGGGCGTAGATCCTTTTTTTTTTTTTTTGATATAAAACCTCCCTTCCTTTTCTTC